CTTCTCCAAAGTATCGGAGCACCATGTCATGTGCGTCTGTAAGAGGTGTCTACTGCATCATCCCCACACTCTGTTACATCTCAGTACTCCATTCACATGTCAGCTGGAGTTGGAAAATGCATGCTAAAAACCATCTATGTGATTTTGGGGCTGACAGGTGGCATGCCAGTTAAGGGCACTGGACTCCCATGTAGCCGACTGCAGTTCGAGTCCCAGACCTGGCAGCTTGCTGTCTCACTTTCCCTCTTTCTCTCTCTTTATCCCTTGCTGGTCAAATTAAAATAAATAAAAAGTTAAATAGAACAATTAAAAAAAAACCCCACAAACAAAAACCTATGTGATTTCAAAGATTTTTACACCACATTAACTATGCACGTATGCACAACTACACCATCTGGGCAAGCCCATGGCCCGCCTGGCGGCTAGGGCAGCCACATTCCACATGGCTGGCTGTGCAATGTGAATCTCAGACCTGGCCACTTGAAAACCATGCTGGCCATGTGTGTGTACATACACGAGAGCACACATGTGCATGCCCAAAATCTGGAAAGGAGGGAGAGAGAGGCTAAGGGGTGTGGTGTAACTATGTTCTGTGGGGGGTGCCTTCTCCTCTCTCATGCTCACACCCTCTGGCATAGAAATATGTAATCTTTTTTTTAAATCTAGCATATGTTGATCTGCATACTATGGCTAGTGTATTCAAACAACATTTATAAAAACACCTTTCCTCTGAAAGCATTAAAGTCAAATCCAAAGCATTAAAGTCAAAGGCATCAAGTGGATGCCTTTAATTTGCTGTCTTAAAATAACATTTTGGCAGATAAGAGGATATACATACTAAGTCCATAGGCAAAGGAAAGTGCCCACACACAAAGGCACTGGAGATACATTTATGTCACATAAATATACGTACTTTTTTTAATCACAGGAGAAATAAGATTTTTCCTTTTTCCTAAGCTCTCTCAACACTCCTCTCCTCTTCAAATCTTACACTTTCCTCTCTCCTGTTGCCTTTTCCAACTTTATTTCTTGAGGGGGGGCACACACCCCTCCCCCTGACATAATCTTCATGCCATGATCTTACCCCCAATCTCAGGGGCCTTGACCATGGGCACACACCCACCCAGCATGCTCAGGGAGGTCCTGGGACAGGAACTCAGGACCTTTCCCATGTTCGTCCAGCTGTGTCCCTGCTGTGCCACCATGTACCTCCATCTTCTGTTGTTTTTTTTTTTTTTTAAAGTTTTTGTTATACAGTGCATGCATGCAACCGGGAGAGAGGCAGAGAGGGAAGTGAGAAATCATCCCCCCCAGGGGAATGGCCACACCACAGTCCCTTCTCCTCCATTCCTCCTCTTGGCATTTTGGGAACAAACACACAGGCATCCTATGTGATTTTTCAGTTTGACGGGTCAGGATCTCCTACCAGGGAGTCAGCTACGTGGGACCCAGGAGCCTTCACCTCCATGTCACCTGCTGGCCCTCCTCTATTGCTTTTTAACTACGGAAATGTGCAATCGCTCAAGTAAAATCTCAAGCCCAGAACCTTTACGTTCTCCACTAAGAAAGCATGCACTGATCCGACTGTTTGCTGATAGTGGTGAGGAATTTATCTATAAGAATCTGCGCACAATGAATCTAAATGTGGAGCTGCAGCTCAGTTTGATTCATGACCTCTATGAAGTTCAGGACAGCGGCGAATTGGTACTCCTGAAGGCAAATGTTCACAACTCCTATTGCTGACATGAACACAGACAATATTCAATTTTTATCACACAAGATCGCTACGTAATCACTTCCCCTCTTAAAACTATAAAACAGTGTAGGACTCCTCCCTGGTTGGGTTTACCTACATTTACAAATGGTTATTGCTTCTCCAGGGGATGAATCTAGCAACGAATGAGTGAATGAATGAATGAATGACAGGTGAAGACCGGAACTAGGAGACTAAGTGCCTTAAGTCACTGGCAGACAAGGAGAACACAGACACAGACAACCCACAGTTTCTCATTTGTACAACGGGACAATAATTATTATCCATAAAAGCATTACATAAATTGCAGTGCTATAAAAAAGTAAAGATAATAAGAGATAGCTACTTCATTAAGTTGTAAGGCATATATATGATGATATACCATAAACGCCTGGCAGTTGCCAATAAGTGATAGTATTTGCGCTAAGTTAAAAAAAAATTGGCTCAAGAACCTGTGAGCCATGTGATGGTTCCAAACTGAAAGAAGGAGAGCTCGAGAGGTCAAAAGTAGACTGTCTCCATCTCAGGTGTGTCCCATTCTGTCTAAAACAAACAAACAAAGGGATAGCAGGTGGGTGGTAGTTAAGGCGCTGGATTCCCCTATAGTAGACCAGAGTTCAAGTCCTGGACCCTGGCGGCTTGAAACTCATGCCAGGCGCATCTGCATGCATGCCCAAAATCCAGAGAGAAGAATGGAGAAAAAGGGACTACAGCGTGGCCATCCCCGAGCAGGAGTGATTTCACACTTTCTGTCTCAGTCTCCCCAGTGAGCAAACACGCCTAGCAAAAATCTCTCTCAGACAAAACAAACCCCTCCATGCTCTGAGACCTATCATAAGCCAGTTGGAGCACACATAAGACTGTTTGGTGGAGCCAGCAGGTGGCATAGTGGTTAAAGCACTGGACTCCCACATGGCCAACCACCGTTGGAGTCCTAGACCTAGAGGCATGCTTTCTTGCTTTTCCTCTCTCTTTCTCTCACAGGTGGATTAAAATAATTAATTTAACTTATTATTTTTTAAGAAAAAAGACTGCTAGGTCAGGGACTTGCTTAAAATGAGCTGTGTAGGGGCCGGCAGGTGGCATGGTGGTTAATGGTGCTGGACTTCCACATGGCTGACTGCGGTTTGAGTCCCAGATCTGGCGGCTTGCTTTCTCACTTTCCCTCTCTGTCTATCCCTCCTTGGTCAAATTAAAAAAAGAATGAATGAATGAATGAATGAAGTTAAAATAAAATAATTCTTTAAAAAAAAATGAGCTGTATAATGCAGAAACATAGCTATTTCTAGAAATATGCAACGTTGAGAAAATAAATGTTGACTCTCAACTTAAGAGCTACTGAAAACTTTTGCTCAAAATAATACAAAATCATCTTTGTCATCATTAAACAGCCCAAAGGGGGGGAAGGGAACACTTGGAGGAGTTGGGAGCACCGGGTGCTCGTTCATCCCTTGGTCCAACAAGCAGTCCATTTCCAGACCAGTGCTGCTATCCAGGGCTGCTGCCCCTTACTCCTCACTGCAGGGAGGTACTAGAGGCCCCCACTCCACTCCAGGCAGTTCAGTCCCTGCTCTGGTTGGGACTCCTTACCAGAAAGCCCTGCTTCCTCCTCAACCTCCAGGTCCAGTCTACCTCCCCACCTCCACGGAAGCATTTTTATTCAACTTCCACGGCCCGTTACGATTGTGAATCCAAATCTAGTGAAAGCCCATTGAATTCTAGCAGTTTTGAGTACATTTGTGCACAAAGTGTTCTACACACCTCAGAGTTTCTCACAGTGCCTAGCAGGGTGCTAGGGACATTTTAAGTGCTCAGTAAAACTTATTCCTTAGGGGCATAATAGGTGCTCAAGAAAACCCTTCTTTTATCTACCAACATATTGAAGCACTGAGCTGCGGTAAATTACCCTGTGGATTCAATCCAAAGAACACTTTTGTATTAATTACCAAGGAAATTAACAATGTTTTCTGGTGTTAATTATTTTAATTGTCACTTCTCAACTAAATACTCCACTATAGGCTTGCAAAACATTGCAAGCTGAAAGCTGGAATCTTCACAAACAAGGCCAGATTAAGGAAATACTCTCCAAAGTTAGGCTCCAGAAGTATTCAGAAAGGAATCACTGAAGTAATTATGCAATTATGCATATTACGCTTCTCCTTCTAAATTTTTAGATAATGTTTACTAGGAATGCTCCAGATATTTTGATTTATTGTAGAATATCCACAAAATTACCTCAACCCTTGTAGAGAAACCCAAGTACTGTTTAGAGGTTAAAATGCTTCCAAACGGCAAGATTCATGACTTTCCAAAAAGTCCATTAAAACACAACCAACAGGAAAGGAGGGGGAAAAAAGGAAAAGGGGAAAAATAAAGAATCCGCGTCGCTGTTTCCGTCTTCGGTAAAAAAAGATTCTTTAAATTTACAACTGCTTCTCTAAGAAAGGCCTCAAGAACCCCCAAACTGAGGAGCGTGGATTTCAGAACCCCCTGGCGAACCCCCCGTGGCCCCGCCCTTCAAACCGCGCTCTTAAAACACATTTCTTTTATCTGTCTGCAAAATGCAGCCTTCCCCCACCCCCCGAATAATTCCATTTAAAAAGCCCCCGCCCGCGAGGAAACATTAATCTACTTTGCAAACATGCGTTCCAGTCTGAGCTTTACGATTTTTTTCAACTTCTTCCCCCCCACCCCCTTTTTTTTTGTACCTTGATTCAAATGTTTTTTTCCCCCAGAGTT